ATGTTTGGGCCCAAGGCCAAGTGAGCCAGACCTCCCATCATTGAAGGTGCAGGTGGTGCCTGAGTGCCCTAAGAATCCCAATGGTGTGCGAGCCGTTTTGTTGGCTTTTGGAGAGGGGGATTCTGCCTCTTTGACATCAAATAAAAATAAACCCAGGTGGTATCCCCAACAGAAACCTCCGCAAACCTGCCCCGCCCAAACCCGCTCTACTCCAGAACCTATCTGAGCAAAGACCCCAAAGCTTTGGGCTGTTGGGGAAGAACAAGCTCAGTTGCCCAAAGCCGACCTTTTGACCTTTTGACTTCCCAATTTTTGTCCATGTTTAGTCATGGCCCCAAAAGGTTGAACTGTGGTTCCTGGGTCCTTTTTTGAGCAACTGGGCAAGTGATCCGGTTCTTTTCTCTCATGGAGATCCACGACCTGCTGGGCCAAGCGGCTCATTGATGGTCTGCGAGTCGCGCTTCATATGGTGAGCTGTTCCCGCCAAATGGAAATCCACCATGGGAGCTTTGGGTCTTGACCCGCCCCCTTGTTCCGTGCAGGTGCCTGCAAGGTCCTGCTGCTAACTAGTTCGCCCGCCCAAATCGATTCTTGAGCCGTCAGGGGGGTGCATTCAAGCTACCCTCAGGGTGCTTGTGCAATACACCAGAAACCGGGCTCCATAAGTCCATATCTTTAGGAAATCCGCTGGACCTCCCTCCTTTGTTTCTTCTTTGTTGGAGGAGGTGAACCCCATGTTAATATCAACGACCAAACAAAGAGTGCCCTTTTTGGGTGTGTTTAAAATACTTTTGAGTCGCTGCCCTTTGAGTGGTTCAAAAGGGGTTGCCCAAAAGTAGGAAAAACAAAGCAATTTTGAGGGCCCCCTCATTCTAAAACCCGCCCCATTTGCTTGAAACAAAATCAACGTCCGACCAAAGAGTCTTCTTTTTCCCCACAGAAAGCAGTTGTTTGCCACCCTCACAATCCCCTTAAACAAGTCTTAAACATATTATAATATATCATGCGCCCCCCCCAACCACCCACTGGTTGGTGAAATACCCTCCACTCCAGCCGCTCCCCTCGGACCCAAGGCAGCAGCTCTGCGCCGCGGAGCTGCGCCAAGTCCAGGACTTCCTCCAGGCGCGCGCCTCGTTCGACTCGTTGGGATGGAGGGGAGGCGGAGCCAAATTGGAGGGACGCGGCCGCCAGGTTTGGCGCCGGAGATGGCTGTGGTTGTCAAAACCGTTTTGGGATACCATTTTGGTTGGTAGGTGAATTCACCACCCATTTTAGAACCTATTTGAGTGGGGATTGGGATGTTCGCTGGGGGTACGGGGTTTTGACCCACAGCCAGATGAGCACGACGCCATCTCAAGGGTCGATCGTTGTTGTGCAGAGTCTTTTTGACACCGACGGGCACCTGCTCAACTTGTTTGATGCGCTCGCCCCTCTCAGGTTTGCTGAGATGTTCGACTTTAGAAACCACGTGTTTGGCGATCATCCTCTTAATCATCCTAGACATGCACGGAACCAAGGAATTGAAGTTGGTTGGTTGCTGGCTTTGCATTCCATTTGAACAACGGAAGGTCACCTTGGCGCAGTCCAATGTCCATGGCTCCGGACTGTTCGCTCACTGCAACCCACCGCTTGTGGGGTTCAGAACTCGGAAGAGCTCCGTGTGGGCACGCATGTGGAAGAATGGGGCCCGAAATGGTGGACATCAAAGTTCGGTTGGGCTTCATGTCCAGCACTTCTGAGGTGGTTCCAACTATTGAAATTGGTTCCATGTCAAGAGAGGGCGGGCATCCGCGATCTATGTTTGGGACCGTCCCATGCAATTACCGGATTTTGAATAAGCCTTGCAGATTCACGGTGCGGTGCACTCCCCAACAAAGTTGTCCGGGTTCCCTATAAAACGCGGACACGCCCCAAGCACGCATTATACGGATCCCCCAAACCAACAAGGACACTTTGCTCTGCTTGATTTTGAAAGCAAGACCCCGAGTCATCCAAACGCTCAAACGGCCTCCCGGGAAGGATAGGCCCTGAGCTGCAAAGTGTTGGCCTTGCGTTGTTGGGTTCCCCGACTTTGCGCAGGAGCCCGATTTGAATACCTCCGCTGAAAATACCATTGGAGACGGGGATCATTCCTAATATGTTTAGTGACCCTGGCAGAAGAAGTGGATACTACCTTCATTGTTGGGCTAGATCCCACTTTTGGTTAAGCCAAGCAGCAGAAAGGCAAGCAAGCACAGACCTTGTCTTTTTCTGAGGCATGTCCCTTTGGTTTGAAGAGAAGCCAAAGATGCAAGTACCATCTAAACTTGCTGTTTAAGATGTTGTGTTGCTGGTTGTCCCCAGTTAGTCTTAAAGGGAATCCGTCACCACTGGACATATGTTCTGTTATTTTTTTCAGGGCACTGAAGCTAATGGAGGTGACCCGAACCAACCTGGCTAGTTGGGTGTTTGTTTGTTTGTTTGTTTTTTTTGGGGGGAGCCCCAAAATGGCGGTTTTCCTTCAAAACCAGAAAAACCGGGGTGTCCAATCCCTCGTGGGCAGCCCCGCTCCTTTTGGTAAAGGGAAATCAGGCTGGGTGCTAAATCGCCCGTAGCTTTTAGTTTTCCGAAGGGAAACCAACAAGGGATGGATGTTTTGGAAACCATCTCTGGCCCTTGATCTTTTACACCCAGCAGAACCTGGTTCTCCTCAAACGATGTTGTATTGTGATGTGCACTACATACGAAACAGAAGCCGAACATATATTAGTTGTTTCTCCTTGTACCCCTTTTATGTGTGTCAAGTATAGTGAGTAACAATCAGTTTGCACATGGATTTTCATTTGTGGCCCACCAATTTCCTGGTTGCAGTACCCAAATGTTTGCTAACAGTATATGTTGGGTATGCGAGCTGATTGGTCACTACAGCCCACATCTCTTGTTGCAAGGGCCAAGTATCAAGTGCATTTTCAGTTAGCTTACATACCACCACGGTAAGCTTGTCATGCTGCAGTAAATACCCCTTATATATAAGTAAGTGGAACAAAACCCACACACCTCCAAAACCCACAGCTGGAAATTCCCTTAAAAGTACCCCCCCCCTTGTGAGGCCCAAATGATGTATATTGGTTCCAACCAGGAGCTCTGGGCCGGCCTTGCCTCGGACGCCTGAGGATTCGGAGCTTTCCGCAACCGGAAGCGGAAAGCGCGGTCCGTTCGCTTTCTGTTTGTTTTACAGGGAATCTATCGCTGGAGTTGTTTTGTTCTATCAAATTTTCGTTGCGGAAATGCAAATGGAGGACAAGTCGACAGAGAATTCGGGATGTTTGGAAGACAGGCCTTAGCTAGCTGCAAGTTGTTCAGAGGATGCGACCATGAACATCCTGTTTTTTACGACTTGGTTCCAATTTGTTTGCCGGAAAGGCAAACCGAGTGGTTTTTTGGGGAATTCCCAGTGCCACTGCGGGGGTTTCCGATGAGCTGGTGCTTTCCTCTTCGAAGTGGCAAGGCCCCAAAGTGGGCAGCCCAAAGTGGGCTGGACGGCGCGGGGAAAAATGGGAGGAACGCTCGCCAAAGCGGGTTGGCGGTGGGCGGATTCTGCTGTGAGCGGGCGTTAAGTGGAGATATTATGGTTTGTTTGGGCGGTGTTTAAATGGCAGTTGTTTTGGACATGTTAACATGTTGGTTTGTTTGTAGGGTGGGGTCCCATTTGAGAGATCCTTCACTTTTGAGGGGGGAGACAGGAAGACCCCGTATTAGCCTACCAGGTTCATGAACGCGGGGGTGGACATTGTTGAACAAGCTTGGGCCAGAGCTTAGTCTTCGTTCGAACCTACCGCAAAGCAAAGCAACCCTCTCTCCGTGAGAACACACTAGTTGGGGGTGCGTTTTTTGAAGGTTCCCCCGTTTGTTGGTTCAAAGGAAAATCAAAAGGAAAGATGCCATTTGAGGTGGTCCCTAGAAAGAAACACACCCAGTTCTTTTGAACCTGATTCATCGATTTGGGCAAATCATCCTGAGCTCACTTGAAGGTACCACGAGTCCGCCCATGACGAGGGTCCCTTGCCGGAGATTCTTTCATTTTCGATGCGCGAATTGTTGTAATTTGCCCAGATTCTGTAGCTGAGGCTGGGCATGTCAACCCCCAGGGTTCCAGCTCGCCTCCTCGGTTGCTGGACTTGATACTTTTTGGGAAGAGAGTGGTAGCACACAAGAAGTGACCTGCAAACAATCCACTCGGGAAGTGAGCAAGTCTCAACCCCAGGTGTCCCAAGCCGCATCTTACCACCGGGAAACGCCTGAGTTGGCTTCAAAATGACCGTCATTTACCGGCACGTGTTGTTTTAGTCTTTCTCGGGGGAAAAAAGTAAGGGACGTCCAAAAAACGACGATACCAAACAACCTGACAAAAATCATGAAGACGATACGGGACGTCAAGACGCCGGAATGAATACACCCGAGCCAACGTAATTTTGACGCTGGCTCACATGAGAGGACAAATTCAAGACTGCATCGGGTCATTTGAGCGCCAACCCGCATCTATTACCCTCTCATCAACAATCATGAAAGTTGAGAGGGGGCTTCCCCAAAAGCTAAGTAGTCTTGCAACACCTTCTGATCAGCTCGTATGGTTGTTGGAGGGAGGGTATCTTTTCAGGGGAAAGCCAAGAGCTGCTCGGTTTGCAGGTCAGCCGCTTGACTACGGCGGGTTGATCAACACCGAGCCTTAATAATTATGCCAGATGGTATTGGTTTTGCCTGTCTGCAGTGAAGTCCTACGGATTACGGATCCTCACGTCGGTTGTCGAGGGGAACCACCCTCGCGCCTCTGGTGAGTAAACCACAATGCAGACCCTTGACAGAAAAGCTGTGATGCTGCCACCATCTTGTTTGTTTACATGGTTTTCGGCGGGCCGTCAGTTTAATACCAGCGGAGGATTATTCGTCTAGGCTCCATATCAGGCTTGTGCAATACCAGGTGTTCAAATCATTTTCCTTTCTGGACGTACCTAGCAGCGCAGGTGTGGTCACGCTTGCCAAAGCTCACACCGTGACGGGCAGAACACAATCTGTGGCGCGGTGCGCAAGTTCAGATACACCAAAGCTGCTTGAAACTCAACTTGTGTTAAACTTCAGATGATTTGAGGTTGTTTAAGTCGTGTCAATATGCGAATGTCCATCTTACAACTGGGCAAATAGCATTGTGTCCAATCTAATGATGCCTTCCTGTTTCCGCTGATCAGTTGTCCCTCTGGATTCTCCCAAAGTCAAAATTAGTGAGCACGTGGGTACGTCCAATGTATCAAGATAGTGGGCCAAAGTTTGGGGGAAGTTCTTTGTGGTTTCGTTTTGAACCAATCTGAAAGGACTACCCAGAAAGTCTCTCACACCCACATCTCACATCCAGAGACCATGGGCTTCTGGATTCGCCGTTTGAGCCAAAGCAGCCAGACTGGCGGCTCAGTCTGAGTTAATGCAATGCCGCATGCGGTCAAAGGGCGGAATGGAACGATGGCTGCAGTTGCCTTTATCATTTTAGACTAATACGGACCGATGGGTGTGTGTGTGAAAATATGTGAAATGGGCAGTTTTCCTGTATGCCTTCAAGCCAAACAAAGTTCCCTCAAGACAGACAAGCTGATTTCGCCTTCCTCCTAGTTTTTGCTTGAAGCCTTTGTTGCCTCACCGGCTTATAGGATCGGCCGCTGACTTCTCGTTGAGCTGGTCGCGTGGGTCCAAGCCGAATGGGTAAAAGGGAGTCTTAGGGATCCCATTTCCCTATAGGCAACCAAGACAAATCTGAAGCCAAATAGAAAATGGCGAAGGGTTCCCTAGTGGCTTGCCTGGTTTTCCTGCCGTCCTGCCCGCTTCCTGCATGACAGACAGTTGAGTGTGCAGAACCCACTGCTATCAGCCATTTGGGTGGTTCTTCTGCCTGGTGGAATTGGGGTAAAGTCGTGTACACACGTTTACAACCATGTCAATGTTAGTTGGGACAAGAGTCGCTGGGCTGTGCTCAATTTTATCTGCCTTCTTCAAGCAGCGCCGCAGCTCATAAGGACCGGGGGCAGACAAAGCACATGGTTCATGCCAGTCTCACTCTGCCCATCGGCGACAACTCGAGGTTTCCCAAAGACAAATGAATTGCAAGACAGAACGAAGCTTGGATTCATCCCATAGCCCTTCTTCCACCAAATAATGACAAAGTTGGTTGGCCCTTAAGAAATATGATCGTCACTGATGCCGCATTCAACATGTCACAGAAAGAAGCGAAGTACACAAGCTTTTCACAGCACCGGGGCATTCACGCAGACCCCACTCTCATGTTTTCGCCGGAAAGACGTTTTCTGAGCCAAAAAGCGCAGCTCGGACTTTCCGTGGGCACGTCGCCATGGGCCGCCATGCTGGTTCCCACCTTCCACCCTGACGCAGGGCTTAACGCGGCGCCCATCGCCGCGTGGGCGCCGCGGTCGCGGCCGGCGCAATCTGCGCGGCGCGGCGAAAATGGCGCCTGGAGGACCGCGGCATCGGCGGCCTGTGCTGTGGCTACGTGGCGCTCGCAGAGGCGAGAGGAGGGTTTGGCAGGGATGGTCCTCCTTACTTATAGATGGGAGTTAGCTAAGTGGTTAGTAACTCTGGTTATTACCCACTTGCGATAGCTACCAACCGGGTCAATAAACGGGTTACCAACCGTTTTGCTAAGTTCCAGATCATCTAAGCAATAGGGGGTTTTGACAAACAGCAGCGTGCCAACTAAGGAAATTCAAAAAGGGCGCGGTTTTCTGAGGGTACTCCCTTTCTATTCGGTGTTAAAGGAATCTATCAAAACTAATCCCAAGCCACTATCCCGGTTTGTTTTTATTCTCCAGACAATCCCATCCGCATGCAAACTTACCTTTTGCATTGAAGTTCCGGTTAATCTCGTGCTGGAGCAAATCCGCATAGTTAGGTCTACGCAACTCTCGAATTGTCTAAGTACTTCCTACGGAGGTTAAGGAGGTACTTCCACGGCATTTCAACGGATACTTTCAGTGATCCACAGCTGCCTATGCATGAACTATCCACCCCAATCTAGTGGCACCCATATTCCCTTTACTTGGTTTCAGCTAAAAGTCACTCAACCAATCCAAAAGGACACCACCCAACAAATCCACATGTTCCATTCCGGAGTCAAGCAAAGAAAGATCTGCCTATATACACATACCATCAAGTCTAGCACGGATTTCACGTCTCTTGTTCCCAGTGCTAGAACTCCTCTATGGTTTCGTTGAGCATGTGGTGCTCTGGATCTGGACCCCAAAAACAATTTGCCTTCGGTTTTCCCTTGAAACCACCAAAAGGGGTGCCAACTCCAAATAAAGACACTGCCAACAAATGGTGTGTTTCAACCTATGCTTCCCCTTCCAAACCACCCCAGGCCAAGTGGTCGAAAGTGGGGCTTGAGGGCACTTGAGGGGCACCAAAAGGAGACCCACCATTTTCAGGTTTGAGATGCGCAGCAACCGGCAGTATGGGTTTTGGGTGGGCCATGTCCTCTCGCTTTTTCGTGTGGTAGTATTGTCGGGCATTCAGTGTTTATTTGGAGACAACCCCCGCGAACATCCTGTTTTGCGGCAGCCCCCATTTTCTGAGGCCTCCCATGGTCCTGCAATATGGCTGTGGGTCAAATATGGGCACCAAAAATGAAACCCCAGTAACTGGAACCAAGGACTAAAACCTCCGGTTTTCTGGTTTCATGTTGACCCATATGTTATTCTCGGTGCACCGATGTGGTCCACGTCCACTTGGCTCGGTTTCTCTCCGCCTCGCGTCGAGCGACGCGAGGAGAAGTCATGAGGAGCCCCGGCTTCCGGCGAGCTACGCGCCGGAGGAGCTGGCGCGGTCCTGTCGGCCGAGCCTTGGCCGTTGGGAGATGAGCTGAACCATCCCCAAGACATGGACTCCATGAGGTGAGCCAACTATCGAAACAATGTGTGGGATATTTCCCTTTGTCCTTGTGAGGTGAACCAACTATCCCACACACTCCATGTTGGTCATATTTACTAACATTCGCGAATGTTGGCGACTAGCACCAACATTGGAGTGGCTGGGTATGGACGTGTCATGTTTTTAACGGGACTCAAAAAACGGAACAGTTTTTTTGGTGATTCCTTATCGGGAGCCCCAACATGGCGGGTCTTCCCATTTTCCTGTTGGTTTCGCCAAAAACAGGGGTACCCTCAAAAACAGACACCCACGTGCATATTTTCACCTTGGCACCCCGCCCTCGAAACTGGAGGGCTTTCCTCTTGACCAAGAGTTGAAGTCCCGGTTTGTAGCACTGGCAAAGTTGGGAGTGTGGGAACACCACCCACCGATCGAGAAACTCCATCCATTTATGCTTGGAACGCGGTCATTGTCGCATTCCGCATGGAAACCCAGTTGATTGATACACCCCTGGTTGGTTGATATACAGTTGCGGTGTGCATTTGAAAGACGGGGCTTCTTCATTGGGAGAACACTTCCCAAAATAACATCCGCAAGGTTCATTGCTTCGGATCGGTTGGGTGGCCTAGCTCGACAGGGTGTCCCCGCTTCAACAGATGATCAAACCTGGTTTTGCCTTGGTTTCAGTTGGTGTTGATCGGTTCCATTGGTTTACTTTGCTTTCCTTGGGTTTGGTTTCCTAGGGTTTTGTTTGGTTTTCCTTAGTTTCCTAAGCCAGAATTCAGCATACTTCAAGAAGCTTTTCACCTTTCGGGTCACTGCTTGCCAAGTGGTCCCCATCCCCCGGGGACACTCGCTGTGTTGCAAAAGTGTTTCTGAACAAGGTGGACCCCTTTGTTGGTACCACGAAAGGGGACTGAATACTTCAAGAACCCCTCATAGACATTCCTCCAGCAACCAGTTGTCCTACCGCAAGGTCTTTGGAGAGGCCTCATGAAGGAATGTCCGGTATCCCACCCACAATTTTGGCGGGCATTCGCTAAAACCCATTCAACTTCTGCCGGAAAATGACGCATATGGAAACGCAGGTGGTTGATACACTCCTGGTTGATGAATAGGCTTCCATGTAAAGCGGCCAGGCTGACTGTGCAATTGGAGTTGTTTCTCGTGCCAAAATGGAGCCCTAAAATGTTGGTTTCCTTCACCTTCAAACCAACTAAAATTGAGGGTACCCTCAAAGAGCCACCATTTTGGGATGCTTCAATTTAGAGAGAAGCCAAAAGTTGGTGCCAAAGAAAAGTTGGTGGAATTTCAAGGGAAGCCAAGTACAGGGGAACCAACCCTTCTGCCTCAAGCGCAGACCCATTGAGGCACAGCTTCCGCACGCTGCAGCGCGGCCTTGAAGTCTTCTCCCGCTGCGGGCGTTGGCTCCTGGCGGCTGCGTTGGAGCGAGGTCAGGGGAATCTAAGTCACTAGTCTTGCCCAGTGCTTGGCGTTACTGCCAAGCAGTGCGCATTTATATTATAATACATATAAGGGGTGTAGAGTTCCCACCTTTGGGGATGTTCTATTTGGATCCCTTTGAAACTGACACGTCATGCGCAGCTCATTTTCCATGCAACCACCGACCGTTGACGAGGGTGTTGCAATGACAAGCAAGCAGGATTTCGTGCAGGGTTACTACCAAGAGATGTAAGTTACCCAGAGATGTAACTGGAAGTGGGTTCGGATTGGTCCACTTTGGTGTCACAAGATTTCTACCCTCCAAAAAAACAATATGGGGCCTGCACAGGGGTTCTCTTAATGTTAACCCCGGATCAATGAACCCAATAGAGAGGTGTCCCCATGTTAGTGGGGTTCATCACTTTTGGAGGGAACACCCCCCTAATACTGGGACGGGTTTATCAATCCTGGGTCAACATTAACAGGAGAACGGTTCTATGTTTTTTTTGGGAGGCATGGGCGGGATGTCTGTCGATCCAGGCGGCGCCGGCAGCAGCGAGGAGGCGGCGCTGGCGGCGGAGTTGCGGGCGGCGTTGACGGAGCTGGGGCCCTCCTTTGTGAAGGTGGGGGCGGGGTGGGGGCGGGGTGGGCTGGTGGGGTGGGGTGGGGGTGGGGTGTGGGGTGGGGTGGGGGTGGGGTGGGGGCGGGGTGGGGTGGGGTGGGGTGGTTCCTTTGAACGGTGGAGTCCGTTTTGAAGACTCAAACTTTGTAAGCCCTAAAGAAGGTGAGGCGGCTGTAATGGCCGGGAGCCGTGTGGCTCCTGCAAAAGCCGCCCTTGAAAGTGTGTGAAGGGAAACGTATGAAGGTTTTTGTTTGGTTGCCTGCCGGTGCTTGGCGTGCGAATTGTCCTCTTTCCAACAATCATGCAAGTGGACGGCTGGAAGGTTTCGGCAGACGATCACGAAAAGGGCAGGGGGTGATAGGAGGAATTTACCCGCGGGTAAAAGTAGATGGCAGAAGGGAATGATGAAGCCAATATGGGAGTTGTGGTGTTCCTCTTATTTCCCTTTAAACCACAAAAACAAAGGGGTCCCTCAACAATAACATATCCAAGGCCGGGTGAAGGATCCTCTCAACCGGCAGCTCAAAGCATAATCCTCTTTCTTTGTTTCTGTTCCAGTTTTCCTTTGGACAATCAAGGGGAAAAAAGGGGGTCCACATGCTTGAAGCTTTTTGAATTACCTTCCCACCAACGAACATGGAAGTGCAAAAAGGCCCTTTCCAAGAGGAAAGTAGTCTTTCTGCAGGGGTCTGTGCACAAACCCATGTTAGCTGGTGGGAGCTCGCGGGCGACCGACCGCCAGGTGGGGCAATTTCTCTCGAGCCGCGTGGACTTGCTGCCGCAGGGGCCATGGAAGGTGTTGCCCAGAAGCTCCCCATGTTTCGACTTGAAAGGATTCGTGTTGACACTTTTTGAGGGGCTTACTACATTTCAGCATAAGCTACAAGCTACAACAAAGAAGCTACCAGATAGTATCAGGTAATTGAAAACCAAGTTGTCCTTGAGGGGTAAACGGTTTTGGGGCTATTGAAATGGATCTTCAACCTTTGACTCTTCGAGGATGCACGTTTTCCGTCTATACAACTAACAATACGTTGAACTTTTTGCGCCGCGCCGCGGCGCAAACGGGGTTAAACATCTTCGTCGATTTCACACTTCTCTTGAAAAGGCCAAGTTGAATTGAGCTTCCTTCAAGCGGGATGATGTTTGAAGGGGGTTTCTTATCAGGGAACTTCTACTTGGTGGATTGGCTTGGCGGTTTGTTGAGGGCAAAACGAAAACCGCATCCCTCCAAACCAACTAGATGACGTCTTGGTCAGTCGTTTTGTCTCAACTTACCCACAGGAAGCCGCTCCATCTTGACGGATGACGTTGCGACGTCCAGTGTGTTTAGCTGGATCCTAAGTCCTGACCTCTAGACTCCAATGGCCACTTGGCCTTGACTTTGGACTGGATCTTGCTGCGTTTAGTTGTTTGAGGCCACTGCCATGTTTGTTTTATGTCTAGCTTGTTCTTGATGCGTTGTTTGTTAGCTGGTTCCCAGACCATCAAAGTGGGTGCCTCAAGGTTTGAAGTCAACCCGCAAGATCCCCTGCCACACGGTAGTGAAAACTGAAATGGTCTGGCTTCCGACTACAGATTACGGATCGGGAAAATCGGGATCCCGAGTTTGAACAGCCCACTTCTCGCACGATCACCGAGGGTACCGCTGCCTTGGCTCTTAGACAAATCAAAGCTAAGGGATTACCACATGAATTTGCCTATGCTTTGGCGGTGGTCTAAAACTGATGTAGATCCATTGCTTGGGGATCTAAGTCTTTTGTTTGGCTCTGGAATTCTTGCATTCTTTCTTGCAGAATGGCACACCCCTCCCCACCCACCAACACCATTCACCACCAGTGCAAAGTTCAATGCCCAGCACCCAGCACCCACCAACCCACCAACTCACCAACCCACCAGGCACCAGCCCACCGCATCCATTGCATCCACCGCATCAACCACATCCACCGCACCAGCAACACCCAACCATTTGAAACGGAATTAACTCTCCGGGTAGTTGGAGTGAGCGTGGCCGCCGCATGGATTTCTTCGCCTGGATTTTGGTAGGCCATTCTAACAAGGTGTTTCAATTGTGACTTGTCAAACCATGTGCAGCAGCAGCAAACAGACACCCAGCCATATTATGACTTGGACGCCATGCACCAGCGCAATATGCCTGGGTCCATCCCAGTGACCTCACAAAGAGATTTGCTTGGCGGCCGCCAGCACGATGAAGCTTCTTTTCTTTGAGGGCCCCTTATTTCAGCGATTACATCATCATTTCCCAGGCCAATCCCACACTCAACGGTCACTTCCACCACAGTCCAGCCATAAGCATTGACTGCGCCCTTCTTTCAGCTTGGTGTCGTTTTAATGGTTGACCGGAGTGGTTTGGGGACCAAGCTTGAATTAGAGCAACTCTGTGGATGGACCCTGGGTTGGTGTTTTCACCCGCGCAATGGGTTGCGAGTTTTCGCCATGGAAGTGTGGAACTGGGCGCGGCGCTGCTGTGGGCGGCGACACCGCCCGGTGAGTTTGCCAGGCCCGGAGGCCCAAATGCCTCCTGAGTTGTGTTCGGACGGTGCCGGCCTTTTAAGGGGCAAACTCCATGTTGGTGGTCCCTTGAAACATACAAACAAACTTACGCACATCCTCGGTGCACCTGTCTTGA